TGGATACGTCAGACAGCAGATGCTTGAACTATCCTCTGAACTCGAGTGAACCTGTGCTCCTGGAAGGTAGAAATCCTGCATATATTCATCTGTGATCGGTATGTAATTCTCTCCTTGATTTCATCTTACTTCTTGTGCGTTATGTTCGACTTCTGTTTTGTTGAGTGAACTGTTTCAGTTACTAATAGTTACTTAAAGAAAAACACAAGTGCGTATTCTTTACAATACTCCTTAATTTCTCTTGTTAAAATAGGTCTCGCACTTGAGACATTCCCCTTCATAGATTTGCTCTTATATCACAAACCACAATACTCTGGGAGTATTTCTACCACTCCTCTTTTCTCCTGATTCTTCAGTATGATGTTCCAAAATACAGGCCTAATTCCAAGTTATGCTTTGATCATTATTCTTTCAATCATGGCCTTTAAGCATTTGTGTCTGCTTGTGTAGTTTCAAACTAGCCTATTATTTGAGCATTCTTTCATCCGTATCTGCCATCCCCACTTTACTCTCCTATTTGATGTTATGATAGCTCTACCATTACACTTCTGAAAACAGGTTAACTAAAACCAAAAGATTATCTAATCACTACTACATAATCTGATCATGTGAAAAATCACATTTTTAGAGCACAGCTATTCTCCAAATGTATTATATATATATTTAAACCTCGTTGCTCCTGAGTATCATATTAAAAGCTTGCCTATGGCCTGTCTCTTCTTTGACATCCAATAGTTTTTACAATTCAAGTAATTTTCGTTGTATTGCATTAAAACCTCCAAGACTTTATCCTCCTTTTGAACAGCATCATAACATTAGACTCACACTTGAGAAGACATGACCATGAACCAAGCTTCCCAGTATCATCTCTAACCACTTTCTAATGTGGATCATATTTTACAGAAAACAGTCTGTCTTCCTACACATACTCGTTGCTCAGAATATTTGTTTCATTACATCACCTTTATCTGTAAAAATTGCATTCATTCTTCAAAGTCCATGACAAAAGTATACGCTCCAAGCACTAATTCTAAATGCCCCGCCCCCGATCGCCTCTGAGTTGCTGTAGTATCAATTCCCACACGACGACAGTTCCAATCACAAGTGTTTGTCTACCCTGACTTTAGTTAATATTGTGGCATACGTTAAAGTATCTCTGAGGTGAGTTTTTAAAAGTACCTTTATGTGGGGTCCAGCGGCGTGGCCTAGTGGCTAAAGTCCTTGCCTTGAACACGCCAGGATCCCTTATGGGCACCGGCTCTAATTCCGGCAGCTCCACTTCCCATCCAGCTCCCTGCTTGTGGCCTGGGAAAGCAGTCAAGGACGGCCCAAAGCCTTGGGACCCTGCATCCGCATGGGAGACCTGGAAGAAGTTCCTGGATCCTGGCTTCTTATCGGCATAGCATCGGCCATTGCGCTCACTTGGGGAGTGAATCAATGGACGGACGATCTTCCTCTCTGTCTCTCCTCCTCTGTGTATCTTACTTTCCAATAAATAAATAATTTTTTTTAAAAAAGTACCCTTATGTGATAAAAATCTAACTTCAAACATTTAGCCAGAGCCCCACTATTGATGTCATCACCAAACTCCTAGTTATTTGAGACAGAAAGAGGATTCATTTGCTTATACTCAGAAAAACGGCCCTAAAAGATGTCACCACCCTGTACGTTAAAATTTTTCTTTTGTACAGTCTGTCATAAATGTGCCTCTTACTGAAGTGCTTAAATTTTTTGAGGTTAAATAAAGGATTATACATGGCTTTTTTACTCAAAGTCCTCAGAACCAGGTGTTTCACATTGTGATTAACATGGAATCACTGTAATGCTTCTATTAGCTACAGATAATAAACGATATATGCTGAAAATTCTTTCAAAGATCAAGCAAAACAAAAGGAAGGTTGTTAGGAAAACCATCACATTTCTCCTCATTGTGCCTATTCAACTTCTTAAGAGAAGTATTTCATACTAAATATAACAAAAGTTTTAACAAAATAACATTATTCCATTTCTCCTTAAAAACTTCATATCACAAAAAAACAAGATCAATAGCCATGGCAAAAGTGGAATACTGTAGGCTTCTATAAAATGGTTTACTTCCGGGCCCAGCGCGGTGGCGCAGTGGATAAAGTCCTTGCCTTGCACACCTGGGATCCCATATGGGCACCGGTTCTATCCCGGCAGCCCCGCTTTCCATCCAGCTGTCTGCTTGTACCCAGGGAAAGCAGTCAAGGACCGCCCAATCTTGGGACTTGGGATCCTGCACCTGTGTGGGAGACCTGGAGGAAAGTTCTAGGCTCCTGGCTTCAGATCGGCAAGCACTGGCCATTGTGGCCATTTGGGGAGTGAATCATCAGACGGAGGATCTTCCGCTCTGTCTCTCCTCCTGTCTGTAAATCTGACTTTGCAATAAAAGTAAATAAATCTTTAAAAATATATATATTGTGATTTCCAATTAGCAATAATCGTGCCTCAGATAAACCTCGTTAGCTGTGTACAATACTACCACTTCACAAAGCTGAACACTCTCATAGTACCAATGGTGAAAGATGACAGCCATATCTTCTAACAACCAACCAAATTCTTTGTGATAATTTGAAGCCATGAATTTGAATACTTAAATTATTTACCATGAATGTCCATAAGAAAGACTTTTATGAATAAACCATAATATTCCCATGCACAAAGTTTAAGACTTATTCCACTATTTGAAAAGCAAAATTAGGGCCCAACGCAATAGTGTAGCAGTTAGTCTTCGCCTTGAACATGCCTGCAAGGACCCCATATAAGCTCTGGTTCTACTCCCAGCAGGGCCACTTCCCATCCAACTCCCTGCTTGTGGCCTGAGAAAGCAGTAGAGGAGGGCGCAAAGTTTTGGGACACTGCACCTGCATGGGAGACCCGGAAGAGGATCTGGGCTCCTGGCTTCAGATTGGCTCAGCTCCAGCCATTGTGGCTGCTTGGGGAGTGAACCATTGGACCGAAGATCTGTCCCTATGTCTCTTCTCTTGGTATATCTGCCTTTCCAATAAAAATACATAAATCTTTTTAGAAAGAAAGAAAGAAAGAAAGAAAGAAAGAAAGAAAGAAAGAAAGAAAGAAAGAAAGAAAGAAAGAAAGAAAGAAAGAAAGAAAGAAAGAAGGAAGGAAGAAAGAAAGAAAGAAAGAAAGAAAGAAAGAAAGAAAGAAAGAAAGAAAGAAAGAAAGAAAGGCAGGCAGAATCAGTGAGAGAAAGAGAGAGATCTTGTGTCTACAGGTTCATTTGCCAAATGACTGCCATAGATGAAGCTGGGCCAGGCCAAGCCAGGAGCCCAGGCCTCCATTCACATCCACCACAGGCTCAGGAGTCCAAGCACTCCACTGTCTCCCCAGGCACAGTATTGGGGGCAGGATCACAAACACAGCAGCCAAGGCCTGACTGGGTGCTCCAAGATGGCATGCAGTGATCCAATCAGGGCAATACAATAAAGAACCAGGTTGCAAACATTTCCAGTGAGAAAACAGTAGAAAACAATGAGAGACTTCTTATAAAATAATAAAATAAAAACAAAAATAAGAATTAGGACAAAACATACAAATTGGAGAACAGCAACATTATACTATGATCATCAGCTTCTCCAAAATAAGGCAGATTTTTGCAAAAATATACAATCTTCAAGAAAACAAAAGACTGAAACTGCTTCAGGAAATCACACAGGCCCAATGCATTGCACAAGAGGGCAGTAACAAAGAGTTTCTACTATATAACAAATTCAATTAAAAATTGACTGTGAATGTATTTCCTATACTAACAAGAAACAAAAACATCAAATTGCTTGTTAAATTGTATTTTAAAAACTTAATATGGGGCCCAGCGGCATGGAATATTGGCAGCTAAAGTCCTTGCCTTGAACTCGCCAGGATCCCTTATGGGCACCGGCTCTAATCCCTACAGCTCTACTTCCCTTCCAGCTCCCTGCTTGTGGCCTGGGAAAGCAGTTGAGGACGGCCCAAGGCCTTGGGACCCTGCACCTATGTGGGAGACCTGGAAGAAGTTCCTGGCTCCTGGCTTCAGATCCGCACAGCAACGGCCGGTGCGCTCACTTGGGGAGTGAATTATCAGACGGAAGATCTTCCTCTCTATCTCTCTTCTTCTCTGTATACCTGACTTTGTAATAAAAATAAATAAATTTTAAAAAATATGAATTCATCATGAATATGGAAAGCATAGTTCTACAACATAAAAACTGGTGTAATACAAATATGATATAAAAGGGAAGTTAGTTATGTTAAAAAAAATTCTACACACACACACACACAGAAAATACAGGATGAACACTGAGCACAACATTCAAGATGCCTCTGGAAATGAAGTGACATTTTCCAGCTCTGCTGCTTACTTATGCTCCAACTTCCTGCTAACAACCACCCTGGAAGTCTCCCAGACACAGCTTAGCTGCATTGGTCCCTGCAATGCACTTCAGAAACCGGGAGTGAATTCTGGATTCCGGGCTTCAGCCAGGCTGAACATTACTTAGCCAGATTGAATACATTCTCAAAGAACTCTCCACATTACCAAACTTTTTTTAAAAAAAAATTTTTTTTAAATGTCAAAGAGTAAATAAAGCAGACAACATTGAACACAGGTTTGAAAAAAGGCAAGAACACAACTCAGCTCATAATTTCCATCATTCTTATATTACCATTGCATTTGTAAACAGTCAAAGTCAGAGTGAGAATATATGGAAATCGTATATATAACAAAGAATATGAATGCTTATTTTAAAATGCTAAAAAAAACCCAAGTGTTACCTATTAGAATAAACAGCACTGAACTCTGTAAACCTAGGTACTCAATCAACTAAACTCGATTAACCTGAGAAATAAAACATACCACACAAACGAAAAAACATAAACACTACTACTAAAAAAAGTTTCCATTAGAAGTGATTAAGAAAAAGGTTGAGGTATTCAATTTTAAATTGCATATTTTAAAACATTAAAAAGAAATAAGAAAAAAGTAATTATTTAAAACTCACGTTGTCATTGTCGGTGGAGGTGGGACCATGGGGAAGGCTGGGGCTGAAGGCCATGAGGTCGGCCTTGGGCGGGCCCTCCCCAGAGCACACCCGCTGCCGCCTCCGCTGCGAGCACGACCAGCTCCCCACCGCGCTCGAGCACACCAGCGCCGCCGCCGCAGCCGCCGCCGGACCCGACACGCACGCGCCCTCCGACGCCGCACCCGACGACCACCGCGCCGCCGCCCACACCAGCAGCGTCAGCACCAGCAGGCTCGACACCGCGCAGATCGCCACCACCAGGTACACGTTCACGTCCACCAGCGACGACGCACCACCCAGCGCGCCCGCCGAGGCCGAGGCCGAGGCCGAGGCGCCAGCCGCCACCGATGCCCGCGACCACGACGGCGACGCCTGACCGCCGTCCACCAGCGACACCAGCACCGTGGCCGTGGCCGTGAGCGCCGGCTCGCCGTGGTCCCGCACCAGCACCACCAGCCGCTGCCGCGGAGCGTCCAGCTCGTCCAGGGCGCGCGTCGTGCTGATCTCGCCCGTGTACAGGCCCACGCGGAACGGGCAGCGCGCGCCGCCCGCAGGCGCCGCCTGCAGCTCGAACCACAGCCACGCGTTGTAGCCCGCGTCCAAGTCCACCGCGCGCACCTTGGTCACCACGTGGCCCGCGCCCGCCGACCGCGGCACCAGCTCGCTCGCAGCCACCGCCGCCCCCGCAGGCCCGCCCGAGCCGCGCGCCAGCAGCCAGGGCGCGTTGTCGTTCTCGTCCAGCACGAACACCTGCAGCGTCACGTTGCTGCCCAGCGGCGGCGCGCCCGCGTCGCGCGCGCTCACCTCTACGCGCAGCACCTCCAGCTCCTCGTGGTCCAGCGGCTGCAGCGCGTACACGCGGCCGCTCTCGCCGTGCACAGACACGTAGCTCGACAGCGCGCGCCCGCCCACGCGACGCTCCACCAGCGAGTACGACACGCGCGCGTTCTCCTGCGCGTCCGCGTCGTGCGCCGTCACCGTGAAGATGTGGCAGCCCGGCGCGTTGTTCTCCTTCACGAACACCGTGTACTCGGCCTGCGCGAACTGCGGCGCGTTGTCGTTCACGTCGGCCACCTCCACCCGCACGCTGGCGCTGGCCCAGCGCGGGGGCGAGCCCGCGTCGCGCGCTCTCACCACCACGTCGTAGCCAGACACGCTCTCGCGGTCCAGGCCGCTGTCCAGCACCAGCGAGTAGTGGTTCTTGTAGGTGGACACCAGCTTGAAGGGCACGTGGGGCTCGAGGGAGCAGGTGACCTGTCCGTTTGGGCCGGAGTCGCGGTCGGACACGCTGATGAGGGCGATGACTGTGCCCAGTGGGGCGTCCTCCTTGACAGGCAATGACAAGGATGTCAACACAATCTCAGGCACATTGTCATTTGTATCCAGAACTTTCACTAAAACTGTGCAGTGGCCCGCCATTGGAGGGTGACCCTTGTCTGTCGCGTCAATCAGTATTTTGTACGAATTCACGTGTTCAAAATCCAAACTCCCTCGAACAGTTACATCTCCAGTAGCCGGGTCTATGTGAAAGTGTGCCAGTACCACAGGCGAGACAAGGCTGTTGAAAGAGTAGGAAATTTCCCCGTTGGAGCCTTCATCCGGGTCAGAAGCATTCAGTCTGATAACGCTGGTACCGTTTTCAGAGTTTTCCAATATTCTCACTTCATACTCGGACTGTTCAAAACTGGGCGCGTTGTCATTCACGTCCAGCACGGTTACCCGCACTTGCATGGAGCCCGTGAGCTCAGGTCTTCCCCCATCTGTGGCCACCAGCAATAAGTTGTGTTCCGGGGTGTCCTCTCTGTCCAAAGGCTTACTTAACACAAGTCTGATATGTGCATCATCATCTCGATTTGTTTTCACATCTAACGCGAAGTATTCACTAGAACTGAGTTTATAGGTCAAGATCGAATTTGAGCCATCATCAACATCAGATGCGCCCTCCAGTGGAAACAAAGAACCTGGCAGTCTCGATTCATAAATCTGCATTCTTTGCTCCTTTACGGGGAAAGCCGGCGCATTGTCATTGATGTCCCTCACCTCCACCTCCACGTGGAACACCTGCAGAGGACGCTCCACCAGCACCTCCAGGTGCACGCTGCACTCCGCGCTGCGCCCGCACAGCTCCTCACGGTCCATCCGAGAATTCACGAACAAGATGCCATTCTGCAGATTCACCTCCAGCAGGTCCGCGCCGCCCCTGGACGCCACCCGGAACAGGCGCGGCACCAGCTCGGCCAGCTGCAGCCCCAGGTCCTGCGCGATGCGGCCCACGAACGTGCCGTGTTTGGCCTCCTCGGGGACCGAGTAGCGCAGCTGGCCGCTCCCTGCCCGCCAGGCTGCAAAGAGCAGAAGCCAGAGCAGCAGAAATCGCGTTCCCAATTTTCCTTCAGATGTCCAAACCATGCCAAATTCGTCTCCTTTCATTTCTATTGGAAGATCTTTCCTCCGAGTGAGTCGAAATGCAGTATGATCCTACTTATTATATTCTGCTTTCATCATGGTGCTTGCAATCGTGGAGAGTGCAACAATGGGAGGGACAGGCTTCGGAAAGGAGCTTGATGTATCTTCATGGTGGACAGCGACATCATGTGGCTTCAAAGGGTAAGAGACGAAATCACAAAACTGGGTGTTTTAAATGTTTTTGATTTATTTCTGTCTTACATGCACCACACATTTTGTGGGTTTTTTCCCCCTATTTTTAAGGGTCCTCTTCATCCCCGTGTGACTTCTTCTAATTTATAGTAACAAATTATCTACCAATTCCTAAGGAAGCAATTTTCCTCTCAATATTTTAAACACTTATGTACACCAGTTAATATATGCATGATCCACATGACTCTTGGAAATTTTAAGTACACAGTGTTCTGCACATTTTTGTCAGCATGAATCTACCCATGTGCACTATGATGTACTTAAGTATTACTGCTGGGGAAAACAGAATTTAAAATAAACCAATATTGTCTACACTTTCTTAAACTTCCTAATTATTGAAGTCTGTATTTTCCTTATAAGCATAAACTCTTGAGGTTTTTAATGTAATAATAGATGAAAGTTTCAGTGCATTTGTCATAATTCTTTACTTAGGTTCAACTTGTGATATTCTTTCCTCTGCAAATGTTTTCGTTCCACACACATCACCCTTTTAAATGTGCACCATTGTGCTTCTCTTCTCATGGTCCTTCAACTGCTCCTCAATATCCTTGCTTGTTTCTGTCCACTCCGGTGTCATACTGTATCCTTTCCCTTTAAGTATTCTCTAGCGCTTCAAGTTTCCAAATGAGATCTTTCTTTAGTTTCTCCCAAACCTATCTCTTCATGCCCACATCCACTCTCTTTATTGTTCTTATCATTGTTACCTATACATGCTGAATTCTTCAAAAATATTTTTAACTAATGTCAAAATAGTTATTCATTTATAATAACTGTATTGTAATGAATAATTTATTCATTCAGTTGTTCACTGCCCTGACATTCACATTGTGCTTAATAATGTTAACATTCTGAATGCTACCCATATTAATTTTTCCTCCTTTGCCCTTATCACCTTTACTCAAAGTGTTCATACTGCAGTTTTCTTTCACGTGCCACCATAATTATGAGTAAAGCTTTCACCGATTTTCAGCAAGCCAAGAGATTCCAAAACACTAGAATCAATCTTAGGTGACTAATAATGTAATCACAAATTTTCAGAGTTATTTTCAGTGATGTCCCATGGAAATCTCATTTTCAAGACTCTAGAAGACAACACAGGCCACTAGTCTTTCTGCTTCCCCATGCGGCCACTGCTCCAGCTGAGGCTAATAATATTTAAATATACCAAAAAGTGCTACCCCATATGCTAAAACTGATCACAAATATCAAGCTTAACTATTTATTCATTCCTAATATCATCAACTCGAAATAATTAAAGTTCTTTCCTGAAGGAAGAGAAATGGAACTTCAAGTAAAACTTAAAATGACACATGGCCACCTCTTACCCACTACAAAATTCTGAACTACATCAAATACTTCCCAACTATGATACACAGCTCCTCTTTGAGAAGCTGTTTTGAAATAATTAACTTGATTCTAGTTACTGTGTGGAGTTTCTGTGTCAGTGGTCTTGGTCAGAGCATTCAAATGCTGCTCAACAACAATTCCAAGACCAGAGGTTTCTCTGCTTCCAAGAAGACAGGCCTCCACAAAAGATGCTGATTTAGGTTTATTCTTGAAATGGTGAATATCTTTCACACACTTTAACCCAAGATGCCTTCTACATTTAATTTCTGCTATTAAGATTAGCTTATTTTAAAATAGCGTATCCGTTTTAGCATTGCAGGTTGTGCCCATTGCAATTAGAGTATTTTCATTCCTCCTTCCAAGTACAAGAATTTAAAACATTGAAAAATTTCATGGAAAATGAATGAACATGAAAAGAAAATCATGCTGGATTTCTTCTAAGAAACAGATTACATCCCCCACCCCCTTTTTTTTAAATAGATCATTCTAATCAAGAAAGATTATGTGGAGGGAAAAAATCAATATAGGTACAAACAATACCCTCTCTCAGAAAAGAAAAAATGTACTGATAACATAAATGCACAAATCTATATTGCAAAACACACTAATTTTATACAAGTTGGCATTTTTTTTTTTACCACAAATGTAGAAATGCTTTCTATCATTTACCCAAAGTAACCTCAGGTCTTAAAAATATCCATGTTCTGTACCAAAGGCTACTGACAAGGACTTGCGAGAATAAAAAATAATACAACAGAATAAGGGAGCAATTATTTTCTCATTGGTACTATGCAATATTTGTCACTTGCTAAATCCATATTTTTGCCAAAATATAAAATTCACTTTGGCAGGAAGAAACCCCATCCACTGCTTACACAAATGCACAGCTTTGTTATAAACAAAATGATTTTTTAAAAAATGGAATTCAAGAGAAGTTTACATCAGTCACGTATCTAAATTTCTTTTTAATCTAAAAATGAAAAGGAATAGCATATAGTATAATACTCTAATCAAAGTAGGCTAGAACTTTCACTGTGAGGTCACAATAGTCACTAATAAAATATAAATTGAGAAATGCACGAAATACAGGGAAATGGATTATTCCAAGAAATTTCAATCTTAAAGCAAATTGGGGCAGGGCATGGTGGCCTAGTGCCTTACGTCCTCGCCTTGAACACTCAGGATCCCATATGGACGCCAGTTCCAATCCCAGTAGACCCGCTTCCCATCCAACTCCCTGCTTGTGGCCTGGGAAAGCAGTTGAGGACGGCTCAAAGCCTTGGAACTCTGCACCCTCATGGGATCTGAAAGAGCTCTTAGCTCCTGGCTTCCGATCGGCGCAGCTCCAGCCTTTGCAGTCATTTGGGGAGTGAATCATCAGACAAAGATCTTCCTCTGACTCTCCTTTCTATATATATCTGATTTTGCAACAATAACAAATAAAACCTTAAAAAAGATAAGAGCAAATAAATAATATATCAGAACTATGTAAAACTGTAAATGTAGGTAAATAATAAAGCTCATTAAATAATGAGAAATCATCATGACTGAATCATACTCAATTGAAAAGAGCAAGATTAAATGCAATGCTAATAACTGATATTGAACAGCAAATGAAAATATATTTGCATATAAAATCTCTAGAAGGAAAATCAAGAAGTGAAATTGTCTAGATATTAAATATCTGTGATGATGATACAAGGGAAATATTAACTGTTCAAATTTATTGTATTAAAATTTTAAATCATGGTGCTTCATTTCTTTCTCAATAACCATTAAAACAAAGACATTAACTTTTAAATTACACCTGTCAAATGCATTAGGAGCATGCAAGGCCAATTGTTTAGACAAAGTTGAAATATGACAGAAAATGTAAGGGCAGTAAAAAGTTAACAGATGGGGGGAGGGAATTTGGAGAAGGGACATGGGGAATCACAGAGCTATCATAAAATCAAAAAATAAGAGGACCCAGTGCAGTAACCTAGAAGCTAAAGTCCTCACTTTGAATGGCCAGGATCCCATATGGGCACTGAGTTTGTGTCCCTGTGGCCCCGCTTCCCACCCAGCTCCCTACTTCTAGCCTGGAAAAACAGTGCAGCACAGCGCAAAGCCTTAGGATCCTGCATCCCTGTGGAAGACCCAGAAGCAGCTTCTAGCTCCTGGCTTCTGATCACCTTACCCCGGCTGTGGTGGCCATTTGGGGAGAATGGTCGGAAGGAATATTTTACTCTCTTGTCTCTCCTCTGTGAATATCTGATGTTCAATAAAAAAAATCTTTTTCAAAACTTTCTAAAAATAAAAAATGAAAATAAATTATTTTTTTAAAGTTAACTGACAGAAGAAACAACAAAAAGTAAACCTGATGGACTCATGAAAAATATGTTCATGTAATCACAAAATGAAATGTATTGGGGAGCCAGTCAACTACTCCACTTCCTTTTTAGGTCTTTCTGAACGTGCCTGGGAGACAGTACTGGTCAAATGCAAGAGTTCCAAACACTTGGTGGTAGACTCAGATGATAATATAGGCTTTATACCCGTTTCTCCCTCTCAACTATTGTGTTTCAAATAGATAAATCTTCACTCATTTGTGTACTAAAATTTCTGGAAATTCGAACAAGGTTTATATTGAATATAGAGTTAAAATTATTTTTTTCACAAAAAAAAGTATTGACCTCAGTAAAAAACACATATGAGAGGTGCTTACTGCAAATCAATTATTTCCGACACATTTCAGTAGAATACCAAACTAAATAAATTTTAATAAAATCAATATATTAAAAGCAAACTGGAAAAAAAAGGTGCGACAATTATACATTATCCACCTTTTTAAAAACAATAAAGATGAAACTAAGGTATATTTAACACCAATAAATTAGAAGCAAATTGCTGTGAATAAGAATTTAAAAACTCACGTTGTCATTGTCGGTGGAGGTGGGACCATGAGGAAGGCTGGGGCTGAAGGCCATGAGGTCGGCCTTGGGCGGGCCCTCCCCAGAGCACACCCGCTGCCGCCTCCGCTGCGAGCACGACCAGCTCCCCACCGCGCTCGAGCACACCAGCGCCGCCGCCGCAGCCGCCGCCGGACCCGACACGCACGCGCCCTCCGACGCCGCACCCGACGACCACCGCGCCGCCGCCCACACCAACAGCGTCAGCACCAGCAGGCTCGACACCGCGCAGATCGCCACCACCAGGTACACGTTCACGTCCACCAGCGACGACGCACCACCCAGCGCGCCCGCCGAGGCCGAGGCCGAGGCCGAGGCGCCAGCCGCCACCGATGCCCGCGACCACGACGGCGACGCCTGACCGCCGTCCACCAGCGACACCAGCACCGTGGCCGTGGCCGTGAGCGCCGGCTCGCCGTGGTCCCGCACCAGCACCACCAGCCGCTGCCGCGGAGCGTCCAGCTCGTCCAGGGCGCGCGTCGTGCTGATCTCGCCCGT